GTGTTTCTTTCCATCTGACCAATGCAACTCCACTCTCCTTTTAGCTCTGTTTTTGGTCTCTACCAACTCCTTAGAGAAATGTTGGACTGATATCACCAGCCAGCTGCTAACTCTGTCAGTCTGCCATCTGGTGTAGGATAGTCAGTGTACTGTGGGTTCACTGAAAACAGCTGCCTGCTATGGTGGACCTGGATAACAGCGATGAAACTGAACCAAAACAGTGAAGGCATGGCCCAGAGGAATAAGAGGAGAGATACAAACTCTCTGTATCTTCCATTTGTGGAAAGTAAATAACTACATTTACTCAGGTTGAATTTTGACATACTTGTTTTTGGCTTAAAATTTCCATTTCCATTTATACTTGTATTGCACCACATTTCAGTACTTTTACTCCGCTACATTTTATCTGAGAGCTGCAGTTTCTAGTTATTTTGTAAATTCAAGGCTTTGCACACAGAAACAGGTGTTTTCAATCAATCTGGCTGATTAGACCTCTGTTCAGGTATAAGTTGGGTGGAGCTGTAAATAAGGATGTAAATAAAGCACGAAACTAACTAATTAACACAAGTGAAAACACCTGTGTGGGTCAACTGCATGTGCTTTAAGATTCGACATACTGATCATGATACCGTTATAAAATATCATGTATTATTATTTATTAAAATACATAACACTATAATAAGTAATTAGCATTAGCTTCATCCCAACCAGCTTTAACATTAAAATGCTACTCAAATGTATCAGAAGTAATAATTCAACAATATATAATAATATAACACTGATAGGGTCCATCCTGTGTCATGAGAACTTCTACTTTTGATACTTTAAGTACATTTTTCTGATTATACTCATATACTTTTACTTAAGAAACATGTTCAATATAGGTAATGTATGTAAGTTATGCAAAAATTAATGATTAATTATTGTTGCTTTAAAGAAATGCCATCTGCATGAAGTTGAGTGGGTGGCATGTTAACATGGAAGTAGGCCACTTGTGACATCTAGTAACTATGGTATTAATTGTTTGAGCAGAATAATAAGCATCATGCAGTATGTACAACATACACACAGTGGGATATCATACTAGAAAAATGTCACAACATGTTGTAATGTATCATGAATATGACAATATTTACTGTGAAAATCTGAGATATTATGCTGGTTCAATCTGTTATTTTATTTCAGCTGCTCAATTATACAAATACACGCAAATATATCATAACACGTTAAAGCCAGATACATCATGCAGTAATGTGTAATGTGTATTATCTTATGATATATCAACAGATGAACCAGATGTGATGACTTCTGTCGGTGCAATATCTTGTCTTAAAAGCTGAATTCAGTCAAAGGCCTGCCAGCTATTTTGAGCTGAAAATCATTTAAGGCAATGATGCATTTGAAAATGCTAATTGAAAGTTTGCAGTTTGTTTATCTACTGCTGTGAAGAACAGCGTCTGTCTCAACCAAAAATCTGCAGCAGAAAATGGGTCAACCTCAAATTAAAGCGCTCAGCAGCATTTGGCACACAGCGACGTGTGAACATGTCGCTAACAGGTTATTATCGCAGCTATTTGTTTTAACAAAGGTATGAAAAACGACTAAAAGTGTTAATAGTCCACGGAGGGAAAAGTGCTAACAGCAACAAAAGCAGCTTCAACTCTCTGTGAGTCCAAAGAGTCAACAAGTCACACGCTGCCAAGAGAGCTGCAGGTTTCACTGTCCACACTTGACGTTCAACAGTTTTAGTGATAAAAGCTAGGCCATCATGCTTCAGGGTTAGGTCACTACATGTCCAAACAATACATTTGATGTTGTGACAACATTTCTAGAGAGGAGTGAACCCTCCCTCTCCCACTCCGAGCATTGCATAAGCCTACCAGCACACCCCGCTGCAGTATTATTCCTTAAAAAACGAACATGATTTGACTGTTAATCCTATTAAAGTTACCATAACAACAGCCTATTGCTTTTTACGTAACTCAACAAATACGATTATGTTCTGCGTTGCATTCATTCTCTGCCTTTCAGAAAATCCTGTTCCACACTCCAAAAATCAGACCTGAACCAGATCAGCTTGACCCAGAAAAGCCACAACCAAGGATCCAAGGAAAGGAGAGGAACAACAACTACAAAGAAAAAAAAAGCTTTGTTGTGACAATTTCCAGCAAAGTAAACAGCCAGTTAACAGGGCCACAATAAAATATGAATATGTAATGCATTGACAGGAGTAAGGACACATGCTTTTTGTCCTTTTCCCCCATTCTAATACATTTTACCTCACCAGCCTGTGCATATTCTCATTTGTCCAGGTCATGGTATCCTAAAGGAGTTTTTAAATCAAAACGCAACTGGACTTGATTATTTGTCTGGGAAGACGTTTCACCTCTCATCCAAGAGGCTAGACCAGTCCCAGCCTGGTCAGATGCGTACACGAACTGATGAAGCCTCTTGGATGAGAGGTGAAACGTCTTCCCAGAAAAATAATCAAGTCCAGTTGCGTTTTGATTTAAAAAAACTCCTTTAGGATTTTACCTCACCATCACCTTGACTGCTCAGTGTGCTGCACTCTGCTGTGATCGAAAGGTGTGCATCAGTATAAAGTAATGTATTTCAACAGCACCACAGAAAACAGCCTCCTCAAGTCTCAACAAAACTGAACAAGTCCGTAAAGGTGGGATTAATCGTACGGCACTGGATTCAGTTAGGTGTAGCTAATAACAGCTAATAACGGCGACAATGTACTGAGGGAATTGTGCCCTGACAGCTTTACCCCAGTCCCAGAAGAGGCCTACATACGGTAAATCTGTAAGTTGTAAATTGACACCATTCATGATAGAACATTAGTGTAAAAATGATGTAAGTAGACAGGATTTTAAAGGTGGAATTAGTCTAAATTATCAGTTTAAAGGTGCACTAATCAATACTCTTATATTAACAATTGATGAATGACTAGATGTGATGTGAAAGGTGTCCCTCGTACTGACAAAGACACAAAGACTTCTCACCAATTCTGCAGTTCACTTCAGCTCATGTTAGCATCTTTCAGCTCAATGTTTTGGTTTTACAGCTGCAGCTTTAATATTTAGCTTCATTCGCAAACTGCTCTCATCAGGCCCCGTTTCCAGCAGCAGCTGTTTCTGAGTGAAAAGGCTCTGATAAACTCAGTCTACCCTTCCTGCTCAGCACCAAACAACAAACAGATAAAGTTAGCAACTAGTTGAACCTTCACATATGTTTACAGTGTACTTATAGACAAGGGAACATGGTGTCAGAAGGAGCAATTGTAGCGACGGAGACGCAGCAGAGAGAGCAGCTGAGAGTGTGGCGGAGTCTGTAGCGGAAAGGAGGTGTCCAATAAAAGTTTCTGATGCTCCAGATAAAAAAGAAACTTGGTGTTCAGAGGAGGGATTGTACTCTGAAAAAGAAAGTGACCGACGGCAAGGACAGACATGGATCACCATTGGTGAGGCTTTTCCTCATTGGAGAGCGCTGAAAGGAGAGAAGGGACTGTGGGCCTTACAGCTCTTGGATAGGTTGGTATGTGGAAAATATTTGCTGCAGGATACATAACTGTTACGTTTACTAAATTACTAAACTAATTATTATCTTGCAACTGTGGAAATTTCTCTGTAATCAACAATGTTTATGTAATTATTCTCACTGCCACAGGGGGGAGAGAAAAGTTCTGTGCTGCAGGTTTAGGTACAGAGCTGGAGTCGGTTCATGATTAGCTTTGATTAGCATTTAAACTGGGAATGGGGGAACAGAGAACCTGGCTCTGTCCAAAGTGACAAAGCCCACCTACCAACTCCTCTAAAGGTCAGTAACTAACATGCTGTAACTCATGGGTTTAACCCCTGCACAAACAGAAACATAAAATCGACCATTTGTTTTATGGGGAGATCCGTGCTGGGCACAGCGACCGTGCACGGCTTCTTGAACTCATTCTATCAGCACTGTGAGCCAGGTTTGGTTGTGACTCTATAAGGACCAAAAACAAAACCTAGACCAGGAGTCAGTAAGTATATGTAACATGGCAAGACAGAACATAATCAAAAGCTAATTTAAGAATTTGCTTTGTTACTCTTCACATGTGGTGCTGTGGTCCACAGTCACATATTATACATTTGACTGATTTACTGTTATTTTTTCATATCACACATTGTATGTTCACGATTTCAGAGGTTTGTCAAGGAAGCAACAGAACCTTTGGAACTTCCTGTCAAAACTTTTCAGATTAAAAGCTCACAATAGCTTGAAATGTAGCATTACTGCAAAAAAAAACCTGAACCTTCCCGCTGTAATGTTTTGTAGGCACAATAGCTGTAGAGGAAGTGATTCTGTGGGTAACTGTGGCTGCCATGACAGAGATCTATTTTAGCACCAGGTGCTGTGCACCGACTGCAGTGCAGCCTGCGGCCTGATGCGTGACTGTTTGTGTCTGTCATTCACTCTCAACATGGATAAAAGCTTAATAAGCATCTTCATGTGGGGGTAGATTCTCTATTTGGACATTATAGCTAAATGTGGGACTGATATTATAAGATTAAAAAAAAAATCTGATTATAGAAATAATCTGGCGGGCCAGATATTATTGCTGGCGGGCCAAGACTGGCCTGCGGGCCACCAGTTGCCAACCACTGACCAACCACAAAAAGCATAGCAAAGAAGTACGAGGTAGCCAGTCAAGTCGTTGAATAAAATAGTGGGTAAACTGAGGCAGGTTTCCCTCCACAGCATCTCATATATATTTCAAGTCAACCTTCCAAAACCTCTTTCAGCTTGTTAGTGAGCATGTACAGTAAAAGCCTGTGTGATACGTTAAAGGACAGAGTGTTTGTTAGTGGATGGCAGGAAGGGAAACAGACAAACAGCCAAAGTGTGGACAACAATGAGTGATGAAACAGACATACATGAGGAGGTGGGGTGGGGTGGGGCTGATGGAGGGGGGTGGGAGCTGATGGCAGGCTGATCTGGGTCCACACAGAGCGACTCACTTGGCCAGCTTCATCTCTATCTGCTGCCGGATTTCCTGCCGCTCCTGGTCGCTGCGGACGGGGAAGATGTTGCGGTCCTCCAGCTCCTGCTTGCTGGGCCGGTTCCGAAGCTTAACGGCCAGCAGCTCCTTCCTCATCCTGCGTGGGAGGGTGCCTGTCGATGTCGAGCACAAATTAAGGCCAATAATAATGACCCAGTGGTTTCAGAGATGCCATACATAGTTTTCCAGCTGAACCCACTGAACTGGTGCTAATCACCACACGGTGTGCTTTTGCGCTTTCTCCTAAGAGCTGAGCAGCAGCTGTGTTAGACAACCTGACACCTTATTAATCAAATACATACATACATATTTTGAGCTTACTCACATAATAACATTCAATGCATTATATATCAGTATAAAAGTGGTCACCCTTCTTGGACCTTGTATTTGTTGTATTTTGTTAATTTTGAATAACACTGGACAAGAAAAAATGACAAATTCAAACAAAAAACTTCAACTTCAAACTCTTCAACCTCTGTCAAGTTGCATGAAACCATGAGTGAACAACTATATTCAAGTCCAACCACAAATTCTGGACTGCACTGAGGTCTGGACTCTGACTCTCTGGTCTCTACAGGGCATTAACATTGTTGTTTTGAAGCCATTCTTGTGTAGCTTTGGCTTTGTCTTTGGGGTTAACTTCCTGGAAAATATTGCAAATCTTCACCCAGACTGCAGCAAGTTTTAATCCAGGATTTCGCTTTTCTGCATTCAAGTTACCCTCGACCTTCGCAGTTCAAGAGCCTGCTGCAGAGAAGCACTTGCACAGCATGATGGCTGCTGCCACCACCATGCTTCATGGTGAGAAGAGAAGAGAAGAGCTTTCAGATGTCAGTGGCTTTCTGTGTCAATCTGCAACAACAAGTGAAGCAACAGTTGTGACTTCCATCTCAGCTATGAAACCATGCAGCTCATTTATAGAGTTGTGAATTTGCGAAGAGCTATTTTGGGCACCCAGAAGTAAAAGTCCTGTTCATTTTCCCATAGACAAAGTCACATGTCTCGCAGTGGGAGCTCTTCTACATATTAGATCAGCTGGCTCAACTCTCGTGGTTCAATTATCCGTCCAAAAGATTAACAACTGCATTAGAAAACATCTGGTTCTTTGATAATAGGTCAAAGTTATAAGCTTGTGTACATAAAAAATGTGGGAGAAGTTAACTCGACTCCCAAGTTGCATTTTGGCAGGAAACAGCCAATTACAGAGCTCCAAATTCTGGTGCACACTGCTAACGGAAGACAGAGGCTGCAGCTTAAATCAACTAACCTTTCATTTCTGTGTTTTGGTAGAATTCAGTAATTATGGTGCTGCATTTTCTTAACAACTGCACCTACAACCACTCTTAATTTGCTTGGGTACCGTAGTGTTTGATTTATCCACCATGGCAAAATGACCCAATAGATTAATGTTAATGAGATGAAACAAACAGTTTGAGGGCATGATTCTGCTTTTGATCATAGATACACATTAAAGATACATAACACAATAATCACAATACTGAGAGGATTGAAGCCTGTATAAAAACATCTCAGTGTAGTTTTTTCTCTTTCCTCTCTGGAGCTCAAGTAACAACAGGTCGGTGAGCCAATCAGAGGAGAGGAGGCTCTGAGTCTCTCTCTGATTGACTGACTGTTTTCTGAGTGATCGAATAAAAATATAACAGACTTCAGGTAAAAACTCAGAGAAACCAAATCCTGCACCATTCAGATGGTGGGTCCAGGTGGCCGAGGGCGGTAACTGCTTTGTTGTGACATCACAAAGTTCCAGAGGTCCTGACGGCTGGTTTTAAGGCTCAGTTTCTGAATACAGGCTGTGTGCATTTCTCTGTGGACTGAGGCTTTGATACTTTCACAGTATTAATATAGAACCTAGACCTGATCTATAATCAAACAACACATGGACATCGACCTTTATACAATGTGGGACCTTTAAGTAGTTGTATCTAAACACACTGTTTTTGTGTATCTTCAAAGCCAAACAAACATGTGGAATGCATTTCCTACTTCACAAACCTGCAAATGCATTCTTTATGTTTTGAAACCTTGATTGAACTGACTAACACTATGCTTCTCCTCTTTCTTTACTAGTGCAGTAGCCACCAATTTTCAATATGAGGAATTTGCTAAAAACTGACTCATCACACAGTCCTCATTGATTTTGTCAACATCATCAGACTCTGGGGGTAAAAAGCAAGGTCTAGTTAAACATGACACAGCACATCAGCTGATTTGTGTTGCAGGTCAGCTCACAAATAATAAGAGATTTAGACTCCAAGAATGTCCTCAAAGTACACAGTACAGTAAATTTGCATAATTGTTATATGTTTTTAGTTCTTCTATTTCTATTCTATTGACATATGACATACCAAATGTTCATAACATAATGTGAACATATTGTAAACCTGTTTTTTCATCCTGTTGCCACATCCTCTGCTACACAGTCAGCAGATATTTGTATCACGTGCCGGTGGCGTGCGCGTCTGTCATATCCATCATAACTACACAGTTTATCCTTATGCCTTTTTTTTCCCCCCTAGAATCACAGACATGCGGCTGTGCACCAATGACCCACATGAATGACCAGGAATTAGGCCACCATAGCAGATGTTGACGAGCCACTGAAATTTAACACCAGTAAGTCTGCTATTCGTCATCGCTGTAAATCTCCCTGTCATGCTCTCACTGTAAACAAATATCAGCAGAGATTATGCTGCTTCATTATCCACTGACAGGATGCCCTGATTTTGTTGGCTTTGTACATTAAGAGGCAGATAATAGGAAAGCAAATATTTCGGCACGTTGTCAGGGACTTACCAGAGATCACAGACTCGTTCCAGCTGTCCTGGTCACTCAAGTACTCGTCCAGACGCCAGTTCTCCTTGTTCTCATCAGACTCCTTCTTGCTCTCAGACTCCCCGGCGGGCTCCCTCTCTGTGCTGGACGTGCGGGACAGACGGCCGTCCAGACGCCGTTTGGGAGATGAGCGCGTCTCCTTCGTCTGGAAACTGAGATCACACATCACCAGACAAACCTGTCAGTTATAGCTTCACCTTTGTGTGATGACTGGCTCAAAAAAAAAAAAAAAAAGTGAATAATTCAATCCAGGGAAATGTTCTCTGACTTTAGAGGAGTCAGTCGTCCCCACACACACTGATAAAAGTCCAAACAGTTCAGTTTATAGTTAAGAAGAAGATGACAATACAGTTCACACTTGTCCTGTTTAATAGAGCCTTATGATAGCACAACTTACACATGATTTCTTGCAACGTAAACATCAGTTAATTCAAGCAGTGGCGTTTATCCGGTGACAGTGACTTTGATAAACCTCATCATCATACATTTGCATATCCAAAGCAAATTACTGGTGAGACTGAAAAAATGTAAATTATTATTTCTCTGGTGCAAACTTCTCAAATATGAACATATGCTGCTTTTCTGTGTTTTATATCATTTTAAAGTGAATATTTTTGGGGTTTCCATTTTCATCATGGAAAAGTTGACATATCTTTTGAGAGTCAAAGAGAATACGTTTAAAAAGAACTGGGAAAAGTAGATTATATGACATTTATATGAGACACAACACAGACTAAAGGAGTGCCTAATTAATCTAGTTGTATGATGTATGATGTTATTTTGTTTCCTAATTGGTTGCGTACATGTGTTTTTCTGTTTTGTTCTTGATGTGCTGCTCTGTTTATATTCATGTGAAAACTCAATTAAATAATAGTGTGAAAAAAAGAATGTTTTTCAAAACTGCTTTGGCTCTCAGAACCTGTGACAGGCATTTATCACTATGTTTTGAACAAAGAAGAACAATTAAAGGATGAATCAAACAGTAATCAACAGACTAATTGATAATAAAAATAATTGTTATCAGGAGCCTTCTTCAAGTGATGCTGTTTTTTTGTCCATATTTACTGTCTTTTAACAGTCTAACAGTACTAGTATAATATATCTCATTGATGGAGGTGCCATTGAACTTGTTTTTATTTTGCATTTTGTAAAAAATAATAACAATATTGTTAAAAGTATCATTAACTCTCACGTGATAACACAGAATAGAAAGCATACAAAGAAAGGCAACTTAATATTTGAAGTATATGTATTAGAAATGCTGCACATCCAAACACTGACCTGTCCTGTCTGTGTTTGGTTGCTAGGGCACGGTGCAGTTCCTCAATGATACAGCTAGGGGGCAGCTGTGGGTGTAGCGCCCCAAGGTGGGGGGACCCAGTCGGTGTGGAGATCCTGCCTCTCAACAGGGAGCCGTGAGGGTCTTTGGGAAGTGTGAAATTTCTGGGTAAGGTGGCCGGGGACTTCTTCACGGGTACTGGAGGAGCACCTGAGGAGGGAAATCATCAACATGAGACACCAGTGCAAACCGGGGGGGGGGGGGGGGGGCTTTAGCAATATCCTGTTGAACTGACCATCGAGGCTGCCCAGCCTGGTGAGCAGTTTGACTGGCAGGTTGGGTGGAGGGGGGGTGCTGGCTCGTCTCTGAGGCGGGGCCACCGTCACCTCCTGTTTCCCCTCGACAGCCTCCGCCTTCCCCATCGACTGCTCTTCACTGGGGTTGCTCAGTGAGGTGCTCTCGTCTTCTCCATCGTCACTCTGACTGGGGTCTCCCACTGTCTTTGAATCCTCAGTCAAATCATGCACTGAAATGAAGCATCAGTGATGGTAACACAGAGGTTTGGTTTGTTCAGCAAGTCTCTGTCTCCACTTAGTGGACAATCAGAGTCATGGTGTATATAACACAAGCCAGTCTAACCAACCAGAATCATTCATTTTATTACTAATTATCACTAATAATCAATCATTTTATCAGCTTAAATCACAAACAGGAACTAAAATAAAGAAGAGTATCCCATCCTGATGTACAACATTTAACAGCAGCAGGAACAATATCTGCTACAAAATGTAAAGCATCAATTGAAGTAAATGTACATACAAGGTGTTCACCAACAATAACTTTCTGCAGCTTTTTTTTATTTATTTTACATTTTTAAACTTATTTTTGTTTATTAATTTGTTCATTTTGATCATGTTTGGTGTGTTTATATAAAATCAATAATGTTCATACAAAAAAAGAATAAATAGATATGGTCACTGACAGGAAATGGTACTTATCTCTCAGTTGTATATAGGATGCACTGAGCTTGCATGTTCCAAACACATCTGCTCGGGTTACCTCCCATAATATTCACAGCCCAGTCCAAAGACATATAGTTGGTTGGTTAAATGGTAACTCTAAATTGTCCAGTGGTTTTAAGTGTGGGTTTTCATGGTTAGTCCAGCCAATGTTGGATTTTTGAAGCTGATACTGATGCTGAAATTTGGGAGTTTAGAAAATATGACAGTGAATATCTAAAAAAAATATGATCTCATTCAGGTGAATGGGAAAGTGTCTCAGACTTTTGGACCCCATCATATCTACAGTATATATTTTGTACATAAGCACGTAACATAAAAAAATCAATCTTGATATGGATCCATTAGGTTTGTTTTGTTTTTGTTTTTTTCATCATAGTGAAGAGGAAACATATTGAGCAACAAATTGTACATCACACACAAGACACTGAAAAATCTCAGGTGGATAAATACGGACTGTAACAGTGACACTGATTCTAAATAACTTCAAAGCTAGTTAGGCATTTGTCTACTCCAATTTCTTGCCAGTTATCAGCCAACTAATTCACAGACATCACTATATCTGCAAGAAACTTTAGAGATTTCTCACTGAAAACAGCTGCTGCTGCAGGAAATGACACAATGAGAGCGGAGACATTAAAACAATGAAGTTGTGAGCCATAAAATCAAACAGGAGCTGAAAGATGCTAAAATGCTCTGTAAAGCTTAAAGGGAACTGCAGAGTCACGTGATACCTCTCTTGAGGTTAGTCACTTTGAGCGATACCTTCCACATTACACATTTGACCCATTGTTTAAATAAAATGATTAGAGCAGCTTTATGTTTAACTACTACACTGTTTCTACTTATCTGTGTAATTGCCTGATGCAGCTTTAACCCTTCAACCTAAAAAACATCAGCAGGCAGTGTGCTTTGTATACTTTGTTTTCAATCAAGCCACAGTATTGTTTTCTACCTGTTGATGCTTCTAAGTCACTGCCCAGGTCTTCACTGGTGCTGGCCAGAGGTGCCACAGGCTCCTCGTCTCTGTCCTCAGCATCGGAGTGAGTCGGGGTGTCTGGATCGTCGCCGTTCCCCCCACAAGCGAGATCTGACTCTGCACACACAGAGACAGAGGAAGAGCACAGGGATGAGCTAGGCATCATGTGGCCAAACAAATGAACTGTGATCAGCCTGGAGCCATGTGTGGGTGCCTGTGTGTGTATGTGTGTGTGTCTGTGTGTGTGTCTGTGTGTGTGTGTGTGTGTGTGTGTGTGTGTTCATGTCTCATTTTGCACCTGTCTCCGTCTCCCCGGGGTTCCTCCTGACGAGGTCGTCTCTCTTCTGTCGTACAGCTGCCTTCTTCTCCACCGCTAAACAACACAAACATTTATGAAACCAGTTCACGGACTGCACGGGAAATGAAAACATGTGGAACTTTTTTTTTTTTTTTTTTATAAATACACCCTCCATGTTCCTATTCCCCGAGTGATTCCCAAACCATCCAGAGCTCTTTCTGATGGAAGCAGGAGTCTTGCGTCATACTCACTTGCTGAGGGCTTCAGCTTCTCGTTTTTCTTTTTCCTCCATTTCCAGGGCTTGAAGATGCGTCCCAGGCTGGCCAGCTTGCTGTTGCGGCGGACGGGAGGCGTACGAACCCCTGATACCAGACAGCCTGAGTGCAGCACCCTCTGCTGGTCCATCCCATCTACATCAACACAAAACAAACACAGCTGCATTCAAACGGGCAGCAGATGCGAAAAATCTACCCCCGGAAAACCGGCGGCAATGACATCAATCAGCGCTTCAGTGTAGTGACGACTGAAGAAATTTGTTAAATCACTTCTAACACAATTGACTGAATACTACTGACATCCCATCATCATGTGAGAGGAGCAAATGTGGGTCACTGGCTGTAAATGACTTATTGATTCCAGTCCAATTCTGAAGAACAGCGAGCAGTGGGGAGAAGACAGAGAATCACATTGTTTGCGAGTGACTCACATGGTTTCAGGGCAGCCAGACCTTCCTGGCCCCAGAAACATGCAGACAATAGAACGCTTTTACAAAATGCTTTGAAAGACACACGGAGGATAAATAAAATCAGCCTCAGCACAACTGCCTGTTCTGAGGTCAGCGCAGACATCTGCAGCCTGCATTCCCCCGCAGATTTTACACTATTTTAGTCTGAACACTTGCGTCGGTGAAGTACCCGGGAATCTACAGCACAATTTGATGACATACAGCAGTAACAGAATCCAACAAATCTTACACGCTGCTTCTGACAGACGGGTGGTTTTCACAGTATCCATGTCCTGATTCTTTGTTTATGTGCTTTTTTTTTGTCCTGTATTTGTCATTATTTTTAGATACTGTCAAGACTTTATTACATTGTTTTTGTATACCTGTTTACGGGGGGAATGCTTAATAATAATCTTTAAAACTGTAATATTTTAGTTTTATTTATAATATATAATAGTTTTCTATTATCTACACTATGTTCTGCATGTGTTGGAACAAACAGTCCATTAATCTAGGACTGAAACTAACAATTACCTTAACAATCAATCTGCTGATTATTTTCTCAGTTAACTCATTCATTTTTGGTCTATAAAATGCCACATAATGGAAAATGGCCATCACAATTCATCACAACTATCCTAAACCTAAAGTCTATGCAGTTTACCATCACAGAAGACCAACAAAACCAGCCAATAATCACATTTTACAAGCAGGAAGTAATTGATTTTCTGGCATTTTATATCAATCAACCAATCAACTAATTGATTCAGCACTACATTAATTAACAGACAATCAAACCAATCAACTGTTAAACCTGCAATGACTGATTCTTTGGCCTTTTTTCGAAGGTGTTGATATGTCAACAGTTGCTTATTTACTCTTCGGCTGCTAAATGCTCCACTATGTTCACCAGCTGGTCGCTAACTGTGTCTGTCTGCTGTCAGCAGGTAGTGTACAGCGGGTTATTAGAGCTTTTTCTCTGAAAAGACGCTGTGAGAGGAGTCAGACTGAACCACAACAGTACAGCTGTGGGTCAGACAGCTGAACAAGCTGGAAGTCAATATAGAGCTCAGTAAAACCGGGGGGAGCAGGAGATTCTGGGGATAATTCATCAAGCGAACCCCTTTTCAACATTACCACATTGTTTTCATTCCGTCATTTGTTAAAGCTGCTTTAAAGTCCTTTATAAAGAAAACGTGAAATATTCTGTGGCTCCAGCAGATTTGCTGCTTTTCTCTCGTTCACATCATTGTCAACTGAATATCTGTTTGGCTTTAAATTGTTAGTCACACAAAACAAGCCATTTAAAAGACAGCTGAACTGTGATGCATTCAATGACCGAACAGGGATTAGTGTGTTGCCTGCAGCGGAATAAGAGTGCTCTGGTTGACAAACTTCACAACAACAACAACAATCTTTGGCTTCCCATTACTTTAATTTCATGTTACTTATCAGGCGTTATAAATGCAGATTATGATTTATCTGCAATCAGCTGATAGAATCAGCCTGAGTATGTATCTGTCAGGCTTTAATTTAAACCAACAGAAAACTCAAAAGACAAAGTAATGCCAAAAAAAAGTTACAGCAATGCCAAAAAAAGTTACATATTTGTATTTTTTCCTTTCATTATTTGATATCATCTAATCGATTAATCATGTGCAGATCTTGATTTTTCTCCATAGACAAAGACTCAAAATCAATGGCTATTCCTCTTAGCTGCTTCTTGAAGGCCTCTTAAGTTTAAGATAAGCTGTAGAAGAGGGATCACAATGATAGACAGGCAGAGAACCAAAGAGGCCGACTGAGCTGATTTCTGTTATACTGCATCGAGTGGCAGAGAGAGAGAGAGAGAGAGGGAGAAGGAGAGAGAGAGAGGGAGAGGCTCCTTGGAGAGAGGACAGAAATAGTCACCCCTACACAGTCTGGCTCCGCCAACAAGCTGACACCTCAGGGAGCCTACAGCTGAGCCGTGGGCTGCGCAGGGATCGCTCCATGAACGCTTTCATCTTCTAAATCAATTTCAGCAGCATCTAAATCCACAACATCTGCTCATTTATCCCTTAAGAAATGAATTACATACACTTACATTATCCGGCCACAGTCACATAATAGGAAGACAAAGGGAAGTGCATTGGGATTTTTACTGTGATATTCCACAGGTGAGGAGGGATTTGATGGTGATGGTGTCGGCATGTGGAAGGTGGCCAACTTTAATGGCAGCAACCCAAGCAGAAGTGCAGCATGGTCATAATGCGACATTTAAAACAAGGGCAAAATCCAACTGACATTAGACAAATATTCTCCACTATAAAATGGTGCAGGTACCAGCCAGTGATGTCATCTAAACGTTCAGGCAGGTGCTATATTTACACAGACCTTCAGCACAGGTGCAAGGCGTCATGTCCACAGATATTACATCAAAATGTTCACAAGGAGGGTTTTCATTACAACAGCAGTGATTATTTTCATTACAGATATTTCCTCGATTAATCTGTTAGTCAGGAAACTGTTAAAAAAATGCCCATCATGATTTCCTGAAGCCCAAAGTGATGTCTTCAGACTGACCAACAATCCAAAACCAAGAGATGTTCAATTTACTGGCACATATGAGAGTTTTTGACATTCATCTGCACACAGAAGCTGCAACTATCATTTTTCACCTCGTTAACAAATGCAACAACTGATGACATCACAAACATACGGACTCTTCTTACAACACAAGGCCAACCACAGCTGAGTTTATTGATCCGTGAGCAGCGGCGTTTCAGCGCCTCGGCTTTGACTGACACCCTCAGCTGCTCTGACCACCAATAATGAGAAGCAGGTCAGTTGCCCAAGTCGTGTGTGCGCGCCTGGGATGTGGCGAGGAATTCAGGTCAAGCCTGTAGTAACAGTAGCAGCACACCCAGGGTCAGGCTCCCGTTGCCATGGTTACCGTACTGGATGCTGCAGAAAAGGCCCTCGGAGGCAGAGAATCACCACGGCATGAGAAATAGGGAGGTGCTGGGTGGATCGGAAGGCTGTTGCCACACAGAGAGACGGAGAGATGTAGCCAATCACGGCCCGGCGTGTAACGATGCATAATGTAAGTCAGGGTGCAATTTGCAAGTTATGTTGAAATATTTATCAAAGTGGTTAAGTGTTAGGGGGATTGGGTGAAAATTAACATGTCTTTTTCTGCAACTGCAGGAGAGAAAACATCTTTTTAAGCAGGAAAAATAAAGTTAATTGTCAAAGTCAGATAGCGTACAGTGAACTGTAGCCTTACAGCAAAGGGCTGCTACTGCAGATAATGAGCCAGCTGAGGAAGACTAACACAGAGCTCAGGGAAATGTCACAACATCCTCCTCACTCACTTTACTAACAACTTACTGTCATGAGTTTAAAGCTGTTTGTATCACCAGGAAAAAGAAATCCATTACAATATCTAATGGATATTATATAATCTCCATGATAAAAGTCTCAAAAGGAAAATTATAGATTTATCACAGTGAGATCACCGCTAAAAAAAGAAATATAAGTCAAGTACTCTTCACTACAAACTCGCTGCTGAACGCCACAAGTCACTATGGGAATATTACAGTTATGACAGTGATATCATAGGTGGAAATAGCAGTACTAAGTACCATATAGTCATAAATACAAACACTACAAGTCCCAAATAGACACATTACATGAACAGTATTATTTTTAAAGTAAATACTGGGGATGTTTCGCCATGTATCAGTGTAATATTGAGCCAAAAGTAGATGTTTCCGGGTAACACTTACATATCATAGGACACACAGCTGTCCACTCCTACTCCAGCGCTCGGTATTCACATCCTATGTTCCCACAGAGCCGACGGGTTCACACTCACCGGAGACTGATGACTTCGCAGCCGCGGTGTATTTTAGGAAGTAAACGGGCGAATGAAAACACTCTTACACGATACCTCGTTCAACAGGGTGTAAAATGTTTGTTTACCAGTGACGGAGGAGGTCGGAGTGAGCAGAAACTAAATTGTAAGCGAGCGGGTTACATCTGCAGCTAGCTGCTAGTGTTGATGTGCCATGTGAACCCCGCCCCTCCGGCCGGGAGGAGGAGGGCAGATAAACTGGCACACGCTCATCTTCTTCTACAAAACATAGTACAGTAGCCCCACGCACATACACACACAATTTAAATATCTTTATGTCCAAAACAATTAATTGCTCTCATATTTCTGTATTAATGTCAATTGTTTTTGGTTGATGTTTATATTGAAATATATTCTTGTAGACTCAGTTTATTAGGTCTACTTTGTTAAAACAAATGAATTTTAAAACAACAGCTCTGCAATATATAACACATTCATGAAGAAATAGAAGGCTGATCTTCATTTATGGGACAAAATATTCAAAACATTTATTTGCACTATGCCCATTATTTTGTCATTTATTCGATTAATCACTTGGGTCTATAAAATGATAGAAAATGGTGATCACAATGTCCATCACAATCAATAAAGCCCAGTGTTACATCTTAAATTTGCCGCTTTGTCTGACCAGTAGTCCAACATATTCAATTTACTATCACATGAGACAAAGAGACAAGACGCAAATCACATTTGAGAAGCTGGAAGCAAACAATGTTTGGCATTCTTCCTTATAAAATAATTTAAAGAATTATCAAAATGCTTGTTTTATTTTGCTAGTGTAACAAGAC